TTCATGTACCTTTTGGCCATCTGTATGTCTTCTTTGGAAAAATGTTTATTCATGTCCTCTGACCATTTTCATTAGATTATTTGTGTTTTGCTATTGAGTTGTGTGAGTTCCTTATATATTTTGAATATTAATCCCTTATCAGATATATGGTTTGTAAATATTGTCTTCCAATCTTTAGGTGGCCTTTTAATTTTGTTGCTTGTTTCTTTTGCTGTATGAAAACTCTTGAGTTTGATGTAGTCCCACTTGTTTATGTTTGCTTTTGTTGCTTGTGCTTTTGGTGTCGTATCCAAACAAATGGTTCTCAGACCGATGTCAAGAAATTTTTCCCTATGTTTTCTTCTAAGAGTTTTATGGTCTTAGGTCCACATTTAAGCCTTTAATCTATTTAGAGTTCATTTTTGTGGGTGGTGTAAAGTAGAAGTCCATTTCATACTTTTGCATGTGACTATCCAGTTTTCCCAATTCTGTTAAAGAAACCACCTTTTCCTGACTAAGTACTCTTGGCTCCCATGTCACATTTTAGTTGGCCATATATGCGTGGGTTTATTTCTGGGCTCTCAAATCTATTTCATCAGTTTCTATGTCTATTCTTATGCTAGTACTCTTCTGATTACTATAGCTTTATTGAAATCAGGAGGTATGACACCTCCAGCTATGTTCTTTCACAGGGTTGCTTTTGATATTAGGGGTCTTTTGTGGTTCCATTCAATTTTTAGGATTTTTTTTTTCTGTTTCTATGAAAGATGCCATTAGAATTTTGATAGGGATTACATTGGATCTATAGATGGCTTTGAATAGTGTGGATATTTTAACAATATTAATTGTTCTGATCCAAGAACATAGAATATGTTTCCATGTATTTGTGTCCTCTGTTTCTTTCATCAATGTCTCATAATTTTCAATGTGCAGATCTTTCACCCCCTGGATAAATTTATTCCTAAGTGTTTATTGGTTTTGATGCTATTGTAAATGGGATTCTTCCTTTCTTTTTCAAATAGTTTATTGTTAGTGTATAGAAATGCAACTAATTTTTGCATATTGATTTTGTATCCTGCAACTTCACTAAATTTATTAATTCTAACTGTTTTTGGTTGACTCTTAAGGACTTTCTGTATATAAGATCATATCATCTGCAACAGATAGTTTGCTTTTTCTTTCCAATTTGGATAACTTTTATTTCTTTTTCTTATCTAATTTCTTTGTCTAGGACTTCTAGTATTATGTTGCATAGAAATGGCAGGGCAGTGAGCTACCTTGTCTTATTCCTGATCTTAGAAGAAAAACTTTCTGCTTTTCCTCTTTGAGTATAATGTTAGGTATGGACTTATCATATAGGGCTTTTATCATGTTGAGGTATAGTCCATCTATAGTTTGTTGAGAGGTTTTTTCATGAAAAGATGCTGAATTTTGTCTAATGCTTTTCTACATCTGTTGAGATGATCAAATGATTTTATTACTGTGGTGTAACACATTGACTGATTTGCATATGTTGAACCATTTTTGTATCCCAGTAATAAATCTCACTTAATCACCATGTATGACTCTTTTAATGTATTATTGAGTATCCATACTTATCAGAGATAATTGCCTGCAATTATCTTTTTTTGTAGTATATTTATCTGACCTTGGTATCAGGGTGATGTTGGCCTTTTAAAATGAGTTTGGAGGTGTTCCCCCTCCTCTTCAGTTTTTTGGGGAGAGTTTGAAGAGATTTGTATAGACTCTTCTTTAAGCATTTGGTAGAATTCCCCAGTGAAGCCGTCTGGTTCTGGACTTTAGTTTGTTGGGATGTTTTTGATTATTGATTCAATCTTTTTTTTTTATTTCTTTTTAGATTTTCTATTTTTTCATAATTCAGTCTTAGTTTGTTTTATGTTTCTAGGAATATCCATAACTGTTCATAGTAGTTTCTTAGGATCCTTAGTATTTTTGTGGTATCAGTTATAATGTCACCTCTCTTTTCTGATTTTATTTATTTGAGTCTTCTTTCTTTTTGTTCCTTAATCTAGCAAAAGTTTTGTCGATTTTGTTTATCTTTTCAAAAAATTAGCTCTTAGTTTTGTTGACTTTTCCATAGTATTTCTGCTCTGATCTTTGTTATTTCTTTCCTTCTACTGCCTTTCATCTGAGTTTCTACTTCTTTTTAAAGTTCCTTGAAGTGTAAAGTTAGGTTGTTTATTTGAGATATTTCTTTTTTCTTCTTAATGTGGGTGTTTATTGCTATAAAATTCCTTAGAACTACTTTTGCTGGGACACCTGGGTGGCTCAGTAGATTAAACAGCTGCCTTCAGCTCAGGTCATGATCCCAGGGTCCTGGGATCAAGTCCCACATCGGGCTCCTTGCTCAGTGGGGAGTCTGCCCCCGCTCTCTGCCTGCTTCTCCCTCTACCTACCTATCTCTCTCTCTCTCTCTCTCTCTCTCCCTCTTTTTCCCCCTCTCTGAAAAATAAAATCTTTAAAGAAAAAAACACGACTACTTTTGCTATATCCCATAAGTTTTATTATATTGCATTTCCATTTTTATTTGTTTCAAGATATTTTTTATTTCCTTTTGGTTTCCTCTTTAGCTCATTAGTTTTGCAAGCATGTATTGTTTAATTTTCACTACTCATGAATTTTCAAGTTTTCCTCCTGTTTTGAATTTCTAGTTTCATTACCATTGTGGCCAGAAAAGATACTTGGTGCGATTTTAATCTTATTAAATTTGCAAGGTTTGTTTTGTGACCTAACATATAATCTAGCCTTGAGAATGTTCTGTATGCATTTGAGAAGACTGTGTATTCTGCTCTGTTGGGTGGGATTTCTGATATATCTTTTAGGTCATTTGGTCTAAGGCATAGTTCTAGTTCAGTGTTTCCTTACTGATTTCCTGACTGGGTAAACTATCTGTCGTTGAAAGTAGAATACTAAAGTCCCCTACTATTATTATATTCTTCTATTTTTTCCTTCAGGTCTGTTAGTAGTTGCGTAATAATAGGTTCTCCAATGTTGGATCTCTCTCTTTCTCTCCCTCTCTCTCACTAGAGATAGATATACAGATACAGAGTATAGACATATAGATTTACAAGTGTTATAGTTTGATGCATATCCCCCTTACCAGGTTGATTGGCCCCTTTATCAGCATATAACCTTCTTTGTCTCTTGTTACTGTTTTTGACTTAAATTTTATTTTATCTGACATAAGTATAGCTACCCCTGCTCTCTTTTGGTTTCCGTTTGCATGGAGTATCTTTTTCCATTTCTTTATATGTGTATGTCCTTAAAGCTGGTGTGAATCTCTAGTAGGGAGCAGCATATAGCAGCTTTTTTTTTTTTTTAATTCATTCACACCCTCTATGGTTTTTTATTGGAGAACTTAATCCATTTATATTTAAAGTAATTATTAATCGGTGAGGACTTTTTAACGCCATCTTATTGTTTTTTGGCTCTTCCCTTATTCCTTTCTTCCTCTTTTGCTATGTTCCTTTGTGAACTGATTTTCTGTAGTGGTATGCTCTGACTCCCTTCTCTTTATCTTTTGTAGGTTTTTGTTTTATGGTTACATGAAGCTTATGTAAAGTATCTTATTGCTTATTTTAGGCTGATAACAACTGAATTTTGATCATATACAAAAACTCTACCCTCTTACTTACATCTCCATGTTTTATGTTTTTGATGTCATAATACCCCTCTCTGTATGTGTGTACTATTAACCAATTATTGCAGTTATAGTTATTTTTAGTACTTCTATCCTTAAACTTTTCTAATTGAGTTAAGTGATTTATAAAGCGTCATATTAGAGTAGCAGAATGTCCTGAAATTGACTGTGTATTTAGCTTTACTGGTGTGTTTTATACCAGTGTGCAGGTCTTTAAACTCCATAAATTAAGACTTAAGTTTGTATTGTTCAGCTTCTGAGTCCTTTCTAAGTGGTTGCTATACAGTGTGTGAAACCCTTAAAGCTTCAGTGTGCATCATGAGAATCTCAAAGACACACAGCCCCAACTTTGATCCTCCAACTACAAAATGATCTTTTTCTTTTGGCCTTGAGCTCATCATTTTACAACAGTGGACCAGCCTCTATGAGCCCCAAAGAATTCTATGGCATTCAGAACTTGTAAACAGAAAGGGGGAGAGGAGGGAAGGTCACAGGATCAGGATGAGAGTTGATGAGAGCTTTCCAGTGTTTTTGTTATGGCTGAGAGAGACACACATGTTTCCATGGCAACTGAAGTGTGTGGGTGGAAGAAGGGATGGCTGGCACACTCTGGCTGTGGTTGGTTTCCCTTTCTTGCTCTTTCTGGTGTGTTGGTGGCCTTCTCTGAGCAGATATAATTAAGTGTTGTTGTTTTCAATTTTGTTTGGGAGTTAGGCTAAAATAGAAATTGTACATGGTTGCTCATGGGATGTTAAAGCAGAAATTAACACGTCAAGAATTATCTTCTTGTTCATGGATGAAGATAATGAAGCTCAGAGAGCTGGTTCTGCTCAGTGTGGGGTCTCACATCTAGTAAGTGGCAGAACTCAGAGAAAAGCCCAGGTCTTCATGCCTTTCTCCTTCACCCGAGCAATTCGATACACATGTTACCAGAAAGAACTAGAATCATTTCTTATGAGGATTTAGTGATGCACACACAAATCAACATTCCAAAGCCTGTTCTGACTTTCTCTTGATGAGTTTTAAATATAGTATAATGGCCGTACGAAATAAATCTTCAGATTCCAAACTTGACAATGTCCTTCAGCTCCATTCTCTTTTTGGATCACAAGGACATATTTCTATTTTATTGCAAATTGAACATAAGCAGCTTTACTACACAGCCAGCAGTTTAGCAAGATCATTTTAAGTTGCAGCCCTCTCCGGTTTTATCTTGAGTGAACTTGAGGTTTGTGTGTGTATAATCATTTTCAGTGGTACGTTTCACCTGTCTTCGAATGGACTGTGGTCAGTTCCCTGGTGGTCTCACGCTGCGGATTTACACCCTCTGTAAATTTACACCCTCTGTTTTCATTTCTAGGACCAGATCTTTATGGAAAATGTCGGTGCAGTGAAGCAGCTCTGCAAACTAACCCACAACCTTGAAGAAAGGATAGAGGAGTTAGAAATATGGAACAGAAAGCTGGCCCGGCTGAAGCGGCTCAGTAGTTGCAAGTCCTCAGCCAGCGAAGCAAGCTCCATCAGGTACATCCCCAAGTACCACGGGCACAGGAGTTGGAAGGAAGGAGAGAATGGGGCCTCTCCGTAACTAGTCCAGTGAAATGGTCTTTCTGATCCAGCAGCAACCATCACTCTCTGACGCTGCCATCCCTCCTCTCTTTCTTTTTAAGATTTTTTTCATTATTTGACAGAGGGAGAGAGAGCACAAGTAGGCAGAGCAGCAGGCAGAGGGAGAGAGAGAAGCAGGCTCCCCGCTGAGCAGGCAGCCCCATGCGGGACTCTCTCCCAGGACTCTGGGATCATGACCTGAGCTGAAGGCAACGCTTAACTGACTGAGCCACCCAGGCACCCCCCCTCCCCCCCTTTTAAAAATGTTTTGGGAAAAAAAAAATGTTTTGGAACACAATTGCCTTATGTGGTAATTTTCTTATTTTTTCTGTTGCTGCTTTAAAAAGAAAAACAAAACATGAAGTAGCTATTTAAGAGCAAAGTGTTATATGAAATGTTACATTTTAGCAAAGGGACGACTTCTCCTTTAAGGAGGAGAAGGGGCCTTTTCTAAATTTAGAAAATCATGTTTAGTTCTCAGGGAAAAAACTTCTAGTTTTTTTTTTTTTTTTCTTTTTCCTCATTACTTAAGGAGGTAAATGCACATTCCCTGGGGTCTAATTATGAGAAAAAAGAAATATAAGGTTTAATGCATTTATTTATGCTTACTAAGGTTCTTTTTCACAAAAGAAATTCTCTATTGCCTCGACTTTTCCTTTTTAAAATTAGCACTGTATTACCAAAAAAAAAAAAAAAAAAAAAAAGAAAGTCATACTGCTGTGTTAGTGGCAGCCTGGGCTTTTGTCTTGTAACTCCCAGAGAGGCATTTGAATAGTAATTAACATTCTCTCTCTCTCTTTTTTTAAAGCAAATTTAGCAGAGCTCTTAGTGCGTCTTCTCCCAGAAGGGCCATTCCCAAAAAAACCAACAAGGTAAATAGACTTAAATTTGTAATGAATAATGATGATGTTTTTTCTATACCCCCCTAAAGTCTTTAGAGAAATTGATCAAAAATGCTTTTCTTCATTTATTTGCTGATAGACACCCTACTTTGCATCCTTATGCACTTTAGGTTTTTTTTTTGGTTTTTTTTTTTTTTTTAGATTTTATTTATTTGAGAGAAAGAGAGAGCATGAGCAGTGCATAGAGAGGGGTTGGGCAGGGCTCAATCCCTGGACCCTGAGATCATGACCTGAGCTGAAGGCAGATACCCTTGTACTACCCCTTTAATAGATACTAAGTGTTTTTTCAAAAAGATGTTTAGAGAAAGGAGTGCAGAACATGCTCATTTCAGAAATACTATTCTGCCAGCTTTTGTTTATACTGTCCGCCCCACCCCCCCAAGTGAAATTCATCAGCCTCCAGGTGCACTTGGCCCTTGGCTGCAAGTTCTGTGTGAATGCCTTAGCTTGACCTAATTCCTTATCTATGGCTTCAGAAGTCCCTGAGAGGCTTCCGTTACTTCCCCAAATCCTTCTTTTCCCTTTAATATTTAGTACTGTTCGTGCAAATGGGTAAAATAGGTGTTCACTTTCTTGTAAGAGTAAAGTATTATGGTTTTATTAATGAATAAAGAGAACTTTTCTCAAACAGGTTAACATTGACAGTAAGTGTACAGTAAAAGTTGGAGGTTAATCATGTAATAATTTGAAGTATGCCCTCTCCAGAGCAGAGAAGTGTGAGTGGGGGAGAAGCTGCAGTATTCCCGTCCTAGCTGCAGTTCACAGAGAGCTGGGAGACTCCGCTTGCTCCCTCTAACCCACCCGTGCTACACAGCTGGCCCTTCCCAGGAACAGAGTCATGACCTTCATCTATATCCTGTTAAGAGCTGACCTGGTGTGTGGGCCATTGGCCCCTTTTATCTCTACTCATGTTATACCGCACTGACCTATTCTAAAAGGATTCAGGAAGAGTTTAATATTCTACTAAAAACTGCTAAAATGTTCTGTTGCTGACAAGCTACTTGGTATACCAAAAAACATAAACACATGGATAAATATGTATGTAGAAGTGTCCTTGGCCAAGTTACTTAATTGCATTGAGAAATAAAGATAATAATAATATCTACCTTGCAAACATTAGTTATGGGATTAAATAAGGGGAAGCCCTTAGCCATAGTGCCCAGCACAGAGCAGTTTGCTCGATAAACACAGACTATTAAAAATATTGTGTAAGAAAGGTGCCCTGTGCACTAACAGTTTGCAGTGGGATGGAGGGAGATGTACCCACATCCCTGGAGGCCCCGATCGATGACGTTGTGTCACATGCAACCTCCAGCTCTCACTTTGCACCCAGGGAATCTCTTTATTTTGCAGTTATCTCGGAATATTAACTAGAATGTGTCATTTATGAGAACAGGCCCTATGTGTGTCTTCCTCATTCTGCTTCCCCAAGGACTGGTATATAGTAGGTACTCAAGAAATACGGAGGGGTGCCTGGGTGGCTCAGTGGGTTTCTGCAATCAGCTCAGGTCGTGATCTCAGGGTCCTGGGATCTAGTTCCGCATTGGGCTCTCTGCTCGTCGGGGAGCCTGCTTCTCCTCTCTCCCTCGGCCTGCCTCTCTGCCTGCTTGTGATCTCTGTCTGTCAAATAAATAAATGAAATCTTAAAAAAAAAAAATACGGAAAGCCCAGTCTGATAATCTCCCTGAAGTTTAAAAACATTAAGTGGTTCAGTGTCTTGGATATGTTGTAGTGGGGGAGGGGGTTGGGTTGTAGACCAGTAGAGGATTTATGTAGGTATTAAAGGACTCATTCAACTCAGAGACCTCTTGCAGTCCCTGTCGTAAGCTTGTGGGAGGCAAAGGTGAGTAACACATGACCCCTTCTAAGGCATTTCTAGGTAGCCAGGGAAGATCAGAGGAAAATACAAAGAACAGTTTTATATGGATGTGGGGAATATTGCAAAGGCTCGGAGTGCTGCAGGAGCATATGGGGACGGGGCCTTCCAAGAGGAGAAAGCTCTGGCTGGGTAGAGGAGAGGTTCCAGAGGGAATGGTATAAGCCAAGGTCTAGGGGCTGGCACTGGCTTCATTGAAGGATTAGGTGAGAGCTGGTTACAGAGGAGAGTGGAAGACAAGCCTGAAAATATAGGGAGGGCTCAGATATCCTGGACCACCTATTAAAGAGTTCACTTGGTATGCCGTGAAAACCTTCCGAATGATAACAATAATATCTAAGTTGTAGAGTATTCTCTTGCTTTACGGACAGAAAATTTGAGGCAGCCTAGCCCAGTGGTTAGGAGCACAGATTCTGGAGCTAAATGTCTTTTGGTTTAAATCCTGGCTCTGTGACTTACTAGCAGTGTGATCTTGCATGAGGAACTGAACCTTCATTTTTTCCCCTTCTCCATAAATTGGGGCACCTGGCTCATAGGTTTGTTGTTGTTGTTGTTGTTGTTTTTAAGATTTTGTTTATTTATTTGACAGAGAGATCACAAGTAGGCATAGAGGCTGGCGGGGGGGCGGGGGCGAAGCAGGCTCCCTGCTGAGCAGAGATCCTGATACAGGGCTCGATCCCAGGACCCTGAGATCATGACCTGAGCCGAAGGCAGAGGCTTTAATCCATTGAGCCACCCAGGCACTCTGCTCATAGTGTTGTTAAGAATTATCATGAGGGCTAAATAAATTTTTATATATAAAGCACTCAGAAGAGAATATGGCACATAATAAGTGCTGTATAAGCCTTCACTCCTTTCCTCTTTCTTTCTCTTTCTTTCTTTCTTTCTTTCTTTCTTTCTTTCTTTCTTTCTTTCTTTCTTCCTTTCTTTCTTTCTATCTTTCTTTCTTTCTTTCTTTCTTTCAGTAGGTTCCATGTCCAGCGTGAAGCCCAATGCAGGGTTTGAACTCACGACTTTGAGACTGAGACCTGAGCTGAGATCAAGAGTCAGGTGCTTAACTGACTGAGCCACCTAAGCACCCCAAGCGTTCACTCTTATTAGCATTTTCAAACCCACAATTTGAGTGGTTCTCATACTTTGGCATGTTATCAGAGTGTTCCAGGGAGCTGGAGAAAGTAGAAGGAATGGGGATTCCCATAGGTTCACTTTCCCTTCCATGACACCAACCCCTAGGTATCCTCTGTTCCTCAGAGCCTCTGTGATCCTTAGGTCATTGAAACATTGTGTGTGGGTGGAGTGTGCTACTACTCTTGGGTTGGGTGGGTATGTTAATGAGCAAAGTGCTGGGAACTGGCTGGGAGCAACTGGTGGGCCTTACCAGACGGTAAGAAATCTGGCTGGGCCTTGCCTTAACTTCCACACAGCTGCCAATGGTAATACTTGTTCTGGAGGAGGATTGAGGTCTCCTGTGTAGCTCTCATCCAATCTAATGTTTCTCTACCTCCAAGATATAGATGGGTGATCCCCGCTGTGTGTTGGTGGTTGGGATGAGGTAGGAAGACCTTCAGGCCTTTGCACGGAATTTTCTAGGGCACTTTGGTTTTTAATAAATTCCAAAGTAATTCTCATGCAGACCTGAATTGGAGAACCATTTCACGATTGGTTGGACCCACCCAATAACTGAAATGTTGGGCAGGTATTATCATTCCTATTTTATTGATGATGGAAATGAGGATCAAGGACATTTAGATGACTTGTTCAGCACCTGGCTCCAAGCCTAACTCCAGGTCTTAGGTCATTTCCCTAAACTAGGTCAAAGGGTATGAAGCAAACGCATGGAGATTTAAAACAACCCAGCAGCTGTGGGGAGGAGGTTAGAGGGGCAGCTCTTATCCTGAGACTAATGCTATTTAATTACAATTGATTCAACAATTTCATTGAGTCCCTTCTCTGCCCAGCACATTATCAGACCCTCCTCTGCACAGTTCCAGTGAGATACAAGAATGGTATAAACTATTCCCTTCTTGCTCTTCAGAATGGCTTCCAGCTACCCTTATGGGTGACTCAGTTATAAGAGCCCTACGGGTTTACATATAGGCTAAAAACTTATATGATTAACCCCACCCCAAATCCCAATATAACATTGAGGAACATTTTATTTAGTCAGATAACCTGCCCAAGAAATTGAGATAAAGACCAATTTTAAACTATTTCTTAACTACCACCATCCTCCCATTCTCTTCCAACAAAAAGCATGATTCTAGCCTGTATTCTGCAGGCAAAAACAAAGAGAACACTCCCTATTGCATTAGTAGGGAAGCTCCTATTTCAGGGGCATCTTATTAAAGTGGACAGAAAACCCCTCCTATCTTTTCAGCCAGCTTCACCACCAATTATACAGCTGTCTACTCTGTAGTTCTTGGCCCATTCCTCATATGCAAGTTTTTATGCCAATATGTATCGGTCTTAGAGGTTTGCCTCAGTGGCTTCCTAGAGACTATAACTTGCTCATTATTAGAGTCCTTATAGTGTTATATGTAATAGTGCTGAAAGAATATTTGTCGAGTGGGTATAAGAATCAGTAAGACACGGGCTCAGAACGGTCCTTAAAAATAGGCAGCAGAATTGAATACCAATGTGCATGATTTAGAGAATACTTTTTATCATGGATCGTAAAAGTCTTTTCCATGATGTGTCATGATGCCTGAAATTCTTCCACTGGGATTTATTTCATCACGTCTTGAAGACCTTCTGATTTTCAGGGATGTTGTAGTAAAGGAAATGAACATCTGGGTCCTGAAAGTATCTTGTCTGATAGGGCCTCTGCTCCCATAAAACTTCGAGAATAAGCACGAAATGAACGGCACAGACGCGGGTACTGTGGGATGCCAGGGAAAAGACAGGTGACTGTAAGCTGGAATGTCAAGGAAAGGGAGAGGCTTGAGCTAGGCTCTGGAAGAACTTCATTTTCAGGGACAGACAGCAGGGAGATGTGGGCTGAAGAGAGCATACTTGCCGGCTCACTGGGAGCAGCAAAGTTCCCTGCTGGGAGAGAGTCTTCAGGGGTCCTTCTCGCAATTAGCATTGCTGGTTTATCACAGCTTCTGACTGAATCTTTTTTACAGGTTTATTTTTCAGGAAAAAAACAGCTGTGTCCTAACTGGGTTTTCCAGACCTTGGTTATAACACTCATTGCTGTGATGGCATTTTGGTAAGAAAAACTTCAGTGTTATGCTCTGCCAAGCTCTTTTTTTTTCTTCCCATATTCCTTTTCTCACCTATGAACTGGGGACTGACCTATGTACTTTGAAGACAGGGAGCCCTTAAAAAAAATAAAAAAGATTTTATTTATTTACTTGGGAGACAGAGAAACAGAGAGAGGACAAGCAGGGTGAGTGGCAGGCAGAGGGAGAAGCAGGCTCTCTGCTGAGCAGGGAACCCCATGTGGGACTTGATCCCAGGACCCTGAGATCATGACCTGAGGGGGAGGCAGACACTTAACTGACTGAGCCACCCAGGTGCCCTGAAGGGGCCCTTTTAAAGCTCATATTCTGGAGAAAAAAGCATGGACTTTCTGTACTTAAATGTGAGATGAAGGATGATTTTTTTCAATCAACTGGTAATTTTTAGTAGCTCATTATGCTGTGTGTGTGTGTGTGTGTGTGTGTGTGTGTGTGTGTGTGTGTGTATGTTCCAGTCTTACAAATAACTGTCTGAAATTCCTAGTTCTTTTTCCTGTCTACTTGGGGGAAATCAGAGAGGGCAATCAGGTACAATCTGTTCTCCCCCAGGCACTCCTATTTGTTAGGATTCTTCTGGACTCTTCAGTGAAGACCCAACACCAAAAGGGCCTTTGAGATAACCCCAAGATATATAACATATTGAAACTGCAGCCAAACGTACTGAGCAGCTGAAGCCGGCCAACGCAGTAAGGACAAAGGATTCGCTGCGAGCGGGGGGACCTTGACCGCCCTCCGTTCTCAGCAGGGCTCTTCCTCTGGGCTCTGGTGTGCAGGCTCCTGCTGCCCAGATCGCCCCTCAGGCTCCAGGACTTGGTCATCTTGCCTATGTCCTCTGGACCTTGTTGTTTTTGGTCTATTTGCATGGTCACAGGGGTATTTATCTCTCAAAAAATGCTTTATGAGCGTGGGAAAGGACTGCCTTTTGGGCTTTGTCTCAAGGGGCACAGTCATTCTGAGAGGCAAAGGAAGGGGTAGTGCCAAGGTGCTGGTAGTTACAGAAGGTAGTGTGAGTCTCTCTCTGTGCCCTTCTCTCCCCTCAGCGTTTCAGCTTTTCACTGGCTACTGCCCACCTTGTGAAGCACCCCAGGTAGCTGACAGACACCGAGACACAGAATCCCCACTGGAAGCCGCAGTCTTTTTCTCACTCTTCTAAGCAAGCTGTCCTCCGCTGGGATTCCCAGCTCAGGACAGTGTGAGCATCTACTTTAGCAGACATACACAGCAGACCTCTCTAGAGATACAGTGTCCTGTGAAAACCCAGCAGCATGGCTATAAGAAGTCTAATTCTGATGTACAGAGACTGCTTTTTAAACATGCGTATCAGAATTTTCTTATGAATTCCAGTATCGTGAACCACTAAGATTATAAGTGGGAGGTCATGGGGCTTGTTAAATTTGCTTCTGGCCTATGGTATCAAGAAGGGTCAAACCAGAATTTGCCCGCAAAGAAAGGAGCAGATGTCCATTTCATTCTATAATTCTGGAAGTTCTCTGGGTCAGGCATTGAAGTAGATGCCAGAGACAAATTAGAAAGAGCACTTCAGGATTAGTTGTAGGGAGACGGAGGGGGATCTGGGAGAACAAAGTGAGGGAGACTGGGTCACAGCAAGCAGTTGCCAGGGTGACACAACGGATTCTGTCTGCCGGCATCTCTGGGGCTCGACACCACTTTCCCCAGACAGGGCTGTGCATGCTGGGCAGTAACCTGCTGCTGCTGAGAACACTCTGGAAACTTCTTCTTTATGAGTGGAATTCAAACGTGTGGTATATTTCCTTGTGTATATTTAATAATAGTAAATCCACCACCTTTGAAGGGGAACAGTGTAACGAGGAGTTGAGTCTAAGGAGCCAGGTGTGAAGGTGTATTGTGCTCTGAGAAGACAGGCAGACAGAAGATGTCAGAGAAGCAGCCAAAGGGTTTGGCGTCTATGCCTGACTAAACCCATGTGGCCTTTCCTCTCCGGGGCCATGGGGCGGACACCCTCCACCAGTGGGATGTGAACTCCGCTCTGACTTTTTCCTGCAGGGAGCAGAGGGTTGCCTCCAGCGATTTACAGCTTCCTCTTGTAATCTTCCACTGGTGACAGACGCTTCTGAGGCAGCTTGCCAGGGCCAGGGGGCTGCTCTCTGGAAAAATCCATCAGTGCGGAGCACCCCAGAGCCTCTTTGCTCTAGGAGGGGGAGGGCTTTCTCTTACCAGGACAGAGAAGCAGAACGGTGCTGGTTTCCATGGTGCTTCTGTCAGCCGTGGCCGCATCCCCCCCACCCCCCCAATCTGTGTGGCCTGTGAGAGTGTATCTCTGGCCAGCTGGTTGTGTGAGATACAGATGAACTCAAATCTGTCACGTAATGTTCCCCTTCTTCTTTTTTTCTTTTTTTTTTTAACAGTGCCTTGACGATAGTCTCTCTTTACATACTTAGCTTAAAAGATCAAAACCAACGTGCCCCAAATCTTCCTCTGAGGTGAGAGTTTTGGTCTTGTTTTCCTTTGGGGAGAAGGATCCTTGAAGGCCTCCTTCATTAATCACTTAGTTTTCTTCCTCCAGCAATATCACCAACTCTCAGGCGCCCGCCCTGCCGCCCACAGCCTCCCCCTCAGGTAAGATTTAAGATTTTCACATTCCTCACTCTCAAACCCAGCCCCGTTTCCTGTGACTTGTCAACAAAAGAACCAGCTTTTCAGGTTAACCTTGTCGCTTCCCTCCCCTCTGCCTGATGCTTTGCAGCACCGAATACATCCCTGGCAACCACACAGTCCTCCTTCCGAGTACCAGAAATCACTTTCTGTGAGATCCTGCCCTGTCTGGAGACTTATTGCTGCCCCATCTGGGGAAAGAGAGGAGTCCCCTCCGGTCCTGTGCGAATGCCGTCTCAGGAGGAGGAAACCCATCAGAAGCCATGGGCAGGTAAAGAATGTTCGAAGTGAAGCATCTAGGGCTCTGAAACCTGACGTGTTTTACTTTGCAAATATTCACTTGCCTAATCTGTTAATGGTCCCAGACAATGGTTCTACTTTTCTCTTTGGCGTGGCAGTCTCTTTAAAAACACAAGTATGGAAACTTGCAGTCCTCTATAAGATTGAGTTCCCTGCCCAGTGATGAAATTATAGCTGAGTGTGTGAAAAGGTTTCATTTGTCCATTGCCAACAAAGATAGTAATAGTAGAACATGTAAAGTAATCCTGGGTGGCTGGGTAGATTTGCCGGCTCACTTAGAACTTATAAAATGATGTCCTATCTGGGCTTTCTGCCCAAACCAAGCAGGGCAAAATGTAAAAGGCTTTGGAAGTCTAATGAGTTCAGGGTAAGCTGCAAGTCAGTGAAAATCACAACCCCTGTCCGAATATCCGTCTCTTCCTCCTAGGGACACACACACACACACACACACACACACACACACACACACACACGGAATTTTTTTTTTTTTTAAGATTTTTTTTTTATTTATTTATTTGACAGACAGAGATCACAGGTAGGCAGAGAGGCAAGGCAGAGAGATGAAGGGAAGCAGGCTCCCTGCCGAGCAGAGAGCCCGATGCGATGCGGGGCTCGATCCCAAAACCCTGGGATCATGACCTGAGCTGAAGGCAGAGGCTTTAACCCACTGAGCCACCCAGGTGCCCCACACACAGAATTTTTTAAGAAGCAGATTTTTCATTAAATTAAAAAAATTATGGAGACTTGATTAAGGGCTAAAAGTATAATTATCACTGTAAATCCATGTGTAATACATCCAAATGGATACTAATTCATTATTATTTTGGGGAACCTTCTGCACATCCACAACAAAGGTATGGAATAATGATGACAATCACAGCAGTACATACATATTAGCATGGCTTATCTATCAGGATGCTGTGGCAGCAACAGCTCCTGAGTTACAGTGGCTTAATGTAGTAGAAATTGATTTCTGACTCTCTCTCTTTGTCAAATGTGGATCAAAAGAGGGCTCTCGCTCATCATCTCCTTTAGAACCTAACTAATGGAGACTCCACTTCAATCCATATTTCTGCAATCTCTGTAGCAGTGGTAAGAGAACATGGCTCTTAAAGCTCCCACCTATGTGTAGCATGTGTCACTTCTGCTTACATTTCATTGGCCAAAGCAAGTGACACTGGTCATGTCTCATCTGAAAAACAGTTGATAGGGGTACCTGGGTGGCTCAATGGGTTAAAGCCTCTGCCTTCAGCTTGGGTCATGATCCCAGGGTCTTGGGATCGAGCCCCGCATCGGGCTCTCTGCTCAGCAGGGAGCCTGCTTCCTCCTCTTTCTCTGCCTGCCTCTCTCTCTGTGATCTCTCTCTCTCTCTGTGTGTCAAATAAATAAATAAAATCTTAAAAAAAAATAAAAAATAGTTGATAACGTGCAGACCTAACGTATGCCTGGAAGAAGATGAACCAGAATTTTTTGGGCCGTCCAAATGACTGACATGTACAGTGTGGTCACTGGTTGAAGTTTGGAGGCAGTGGTATGTTTTTTCTCTTTTGATATTACTGCATATCCTAGAGTTGAATAACTTCTACAAATCCTCCTCCTCCTCCTCACCATTGCCACCGCCATCACCATCATGATGGAATGAGATATTTCTGTACACAAAAACACTGCCATAAGTCGTCTACATGAATAAACCATTCCATCCCCACAAGCCTGAAAGATAGGCACTATTATCTCCATTTTTTTCCAATGAGGGGAAAAGTTTTTGGAGAGCTTTTGGAGAGTTTTCCCCTATATCTGTAGGAGGCCACGCTTGCACTGTTTTTTCTCATGAAAGCAACTTTTGATTGAACTTGGGATGAGATGCACCACTCTAGGGCAAAGATAAAGCTTCCATGTGAAGAAAGGAATGTGTTTCAGTCATTATATTCTCAGTAATGTCAAATACGGAAAAGTCTAGTACTGTTAAAAAAAAAATCCCTTAAAGCCTTCATCTCTTGTGAAAGCACATGGACCCTTGTGACTGGTCAATCCTTTTCCTACCTCAGGAGCCCGTGTTGGGTATACTTGGTGACCTTGTCTGAGAGTGGTCCTCAGAAGAGACCATCTCACCTATGAGAGATGTGCAACCATGGATCCTGCGCGGGAAGAGGTCATGGACTGAGCCAATCTTCATTTTCAAAAATGTTCTTGACCCTTGAGCAAACTCCTTCCCATAGCAACCAGCTCTTCACGGGCAGAGCAGTCTTCTCAAACCAGAGGAAGGCTTATTGCTCTCCTCTCTGGGACACTGGGTGCCTGCATGTCTTCCATTGCCCAAGTAGGGGAGACTCCAAAGAGACTCCTAGAGAAAGAAGGGCTGCTCCACAGTGCCTGGCTTTGTCCTCCTAGATGCTGTCATCAGCTTCTCTGGGTAAAAATGAAATGTAAGTCTTGCTCTGCCAGGCTCCCTGGTACATGGGGAGAGTAGTCTCCTCTTCCCTCTTCCAGCCAGAGAGAGATAGCAAGGATTTACGTGTTCTTTTCACTGTCACCTTCTAGAAACCTGCAAACTTTTGGCGATTTAGAGTCTTATAGAATGTGAGAGGGGTAAACCAGTGATACCTAACTTTTTAACCCATAGACTCTACTATTAATTCATTCTTCTTTTATAATTATTTGACTGAGAAAATACATAGAGGGAGAATGTTACTGTAAACTGTTAAGCTTTTAGTCAAATTATTTTTGTTAACCCTGCAGCAACATTTGAAGAATAGTACAAGCCCATGGGAGAGTTGTTACTTTTCAAGGGTGCAGACGCCACTGACTGCTTTGTGCAATCACCTGGGGTTCCAAGGTCCCCAGGTCAGGAACACCTCTGACTGATACCAGCTCACCCACTGGCCAGCTGATGAGATGGAGGCCCAGGACCTTGCTTAAGGTTCTGCAGTAAGTGACTAGCACAGTTGCCACAGGAACCTGAGTCCTCTGTGTCCATGCCCTGGGTTCCTGCCCATCTACCATTATCTCTCCTTTATTTGGGCACCGTGTGCACATGTACCAGGGATCAACTCCAGAGGAAGCCAAGAGTATTCCCTCTGTGATTCTGGAAACCTCCTTTGGCATGCCCCTCCTCCAGGGTTGCCTAGAAGAGGTCCCTGATGTGGGGCGTTTCTGGTGGTATAAAGAAAGTCTCTTCTCTTCTGCTGCAGGTCTATCCTTCCCCTTTGTCCTGGGCACTATGTGACACTAGGGTTCCTAAATCTGAAAGTGGGGAAAGCCAGGCAAACTCTTTCAACCAGATGTTTCTGAGACATTGACAACTAACTAAAAATGGAAGAATAAGGACTCCTGGGTGGCTGAGTTGGTTGAGCATCTGCCTTCAGCTCAGGTCATGATCCCAGGGTCCTGGGATCGAGTCCCACATGAGGCTCCCTGCTCAGTGGGAAGCCAGCTTCTCCCTCTGCCTGCCATTCCCCCTACTTGTGCTCACTCTCTCTCTCTCTCTGACAGATGAATAGAATCTTTAATAAAAAAAAGTTAAAGGATAAAAATTTTAAAAAGAAATTCAATGGTTAAGGAAAAAAAAACAAACATGTTGGAATAACTCTCTAGGACGAAGAGTAATATCTAGCAGTTTGCCAAGCCCCAGAAAACACTTATGAGCTTCTTTTCTAAGGGGTAAGACCTCTAGTAAAATAAGGGAAGGGAAATTAGCATTTTTATGATATGCTGAGTGCAAGCCATTTTTCTTCTTTTGGACCCAAGCTGATTATATAAAACGTCTCTCAGAAAGGTTATCCCACCCCTCTTCGTATAAAAGGTTTGGGTTAGACTAACCAAGAGGTGGAGAGTGGGTATTTTGGAATATTGAGTTTCTACTCTGAGGAGCCAACTGAGTGCGATGGATTAGATTTTAATCTATGGAAACAATAAAGACCTAAATAGCCAGAGTTAGATAGGAAAAAGTAAAGAGCTTATGAGGAGAAAAATCTATGGAATTCTACAGATGTTAAGAATTTTGGTGAAGACTTAAAAAAAAAATCTCATGAAACTAAAGGCATGGGAATTCATGCTTATTTTGTTTTGGAGACCAGAACTCTGGGAAGAGCAAATGGCAGAAAGAAACTGACTCCCTGTGTTAAAGGACACAGTCATCAATCGGTTGGGCTCATTGACTTTTTCTTGGCATGAGTCTGGTTCAATCAGGAAAGAAAAAGGTATCCAAGATGCTGTTTTGGAACTTAGCCATGCAGCACAATTTTATAAGTAATGCTATATACACACTCTACCACAACAGGATATGCTTTGGTTGGAGACCATCTTAAATCTTTCTTCTCCAGAAGTTTCTAATTTAGTTTATTAGGAGATCTTTTCCGTTGATTGCAAAATCTGTCTCCAGCTTCACAATGAAAACTGCTGGAAGTGTATATTAAGTTTATAGTGAATATTACTGGAAGACATTTATAAAATGAGAACCACCCCTGTTTGACTACAGGAGAATTTATGGTTTTCTAATAACCAGCCTTTCAGAATTGAATAGTCTTGCCTCAGAGAAGTGACAAACTGGAAATGTTTTATAGGAGATTTAAAATTTATTTCCAATCCTGCATTTGAAAAGCCATTTTCATAATTCTAATCTGCAAGATTATCTCTCCTTAACTTTACCTTTTTATTAGTTTTTAAAATACTGTTATCCACCAGATACTAAATCCTATCACAGGATTCTGTGTCTCCAGGAACATGAAAACATGCTTCTCTGGAAGTGAGGAAACTCTGTAATTCTGTTGCCAAAATTTATAATGAGTCCTGTTCCTGCAAATTCAGTGGGAGAGTAGAAAAAGAGGTAAGGGATGGAAACAGATAGGATGGAGAAGTTCTGGTTTCCTCTTCTTTTTATGTTTCAATTGCCATATAAATTCACGTCCTTCTATGGAAGCAATCATAAGCAAAACTCATAGCAGGGGACGTGTGCTTGACAAAGATTGGAATAGCTGGAATCCAAGAAATCTAGAGGCCTTTGGACAGCACATATATTTATACCCAAAGGGAAATATATATTCAATTTTCTAGAAAATTCTCATGTGTCAAGATCCATTTCTTTTTTTTTTTTTTAAGATTTTAAAATTTATTTATCTGACAGAGATCACAAGTAGGCAGAGAGGCAGGCAGAGAGAGAGGAGGAAGCAGGCTCCCCGCTGAGCAGAGAGCCCTATGCGGGGCTCGATCCCAGGACCCTGAGATCATGACCTGAGCTGAAGGCAGAGGCTTTAACCCACTGAGCCACCCAGGCGCCCAAGATCCATTTCTTTTTAATGATCAGGTCATGATCCTAGAGTCCTGGGATCAAGGCCTTTGAGTGTGTTAAGAGGAAACATTTTTCTAGAGGGTATATGATGGACTCTGCTTCTTCTTTCCCTTCCCCTCTTCCTTCCATCCTCCCACTTTGCTGAGCACCTGCAGAGAGCCCAGGATTGCCTTACCTGGGGCAATGGCAGGTGCATAAGATGAGCGCAGGCTTCTAGAAGCTCACAGTCATTTTTGTGGACAGGTAAACAAGCCTGTGTGCTTAGTGTAGGAAGTCCTAACCATGGCAGATTTACTTAGGAGTGATGGCACCCAAGTAATGTGTGCTCTAGCATTTGCTTTCCATCCTGAAATTCCACACAGAAACATGAATAGAAAACTTGTTTTAGATCTCGCGTCTCTTTCTTATGAAAGCAACACACCTTGTATCAACTTCTGTCTCTTGTTAAATGAGGGTACTGTTTTTGTGTTTTACCCCAAACTATGTTGAAAAATATAAACATTATATAATGCAAAGGAAGGAATACAGTGAGCAGTACATAGCCTTGAGAAAAAAATCAGCAAATTAAAAAAAAAGACTGCAAAACCTTCAAAATTCTATTTAAAGACTTGTTTAGTAACCCACTAAATAATTGCTTTCACCATTCACTTTAAGATATTTTCCCCCAAAGCCTTCACAACAATCCTCTGAATAGTTACCTTTCCCAAACTGCTTGTAAAATGCCTTTTCAGCTGTGACAGGGCAAAACCACTCCCCCACTTCTTTCCTTCCCCACAAGCCAGCTCCAAGCCACCCACACCACTGATCTGCTGCTTTGGCACCATGATCCCCACCTGGGGTTTTAAGCTCTCTTTTTTTCCTGTGTGGATCACGTTATGCTAAGAGTTACAGAGAAATCAGAGAATTTTAATAGAGGTTCCCTATTCTGGGGTTTTCAAGAAAGGGCAAAAATACATACAAGTAATAAAACTGTGATGACATACTTTTGATGTGATAACAGACTACTAACTGATCACCACATGGGTGGTTCTGTAGTAAGGCGGTGACGTCAGAGCAGAGGGGCCGTGAGCCACAGTGATCCGACCTGTTATGGCCGCCATCACAAAGGACCACAGACTGGGCAACTTCAAATACAGAATTTATTTTCTCACAGTTCTGAAGACCAGAAGTCCAAAATCAGAGTGTTAACAGGTCTGGTTTCTTCTGAGATCTCCCTCCTGGACTCACAGATGGCCACCTTTGCTGTGTGTCCTTGCAGGGTTTCCTCTCTGCCTGTCCCTGGTGTCTTGAGTGTCCTAATCTCTTCTTATAGGGGGGACACCAGCCAGATTGGATTAGAGCCCAGCATAACGGCTTCGTTCTAACTCGATTGCCTCTTGAGAGGCCCTATCTCCAAACAGAAGCATGTTCTGAGAGGTTGGGGCTTCAACACAAGAGTTTGGGGAACAAAGTTCAGCCCAAAACAGATGGCTTCTTGGGGAAGATGAGAACATATTAGATCCCTAAGAAATGAGGTAGGCATTGGATGGGTGGAAAGGCAGGAGTGAGAACGGGTGGAGAAACATTCAACTGACAGAAGGGACACACATACTGGGTTTCCTCTCATCCTGGCCAAGCCTTAAAGTTTGACAGACTTTTTTTCCTCTTCAGAAGACAGAAGTTTGTCATTCCTGGCAAGAGATGCGCTAACCAGCCCTGACTGGGGGAGTGACTGTAAGTTTACAGCCAAGCGACTTTCCTTTGGCTTCAGGGTAGAGGCCCTGGGAGTGGCAACAGGCAGTGAAAGCATTACAGGAGTGAGGACGGGGGACAAAGGCTGCACCCTGCAGCCAATGCTCATGGGGATTAGGGTTAGGTTTTTATAATCAATGCATCTAACCATTAAGGAGGCTTAGAGATGGTCGTTCACACTAGAGTAGAGGAGGTTATCTCCATGGATTTTGATAATTTATTTGAACCTCCTACATTCTTCTTCAATTCTGACTGTACGTTTCATTTGTTTTCTAAGTTTTGTTTTTTTTTTTCTAAAGCTTTCTTTCTTGGCCAGATTGCATTTCACACTGCACTCTCCATTTCAATAAATGTCAATTTAGTTGGATTTCCAGGGTCCAGAAATTCTTTTGGATGTTATGGGGCTACCTATTAGAGCGTGGGTTTTTATGAGTTTTCTTAAAATTTACTATAACAACAACAAAAAGACTTCTCCCTTTCCCCTTCCCTCCCCTTCTTTTTCCATTTGAATGCAAATGGAACCCATTTTATCTAGGAAACTCTTCTTTCACTTTGGGTAATTTGGAGACATTGCAGAAGCAGGATAGTTTTCCTCTGCAGAAGAGTTTACTTTCTTTGTTTCTTCTCAATACAGGGATTGATACAACCATCAGTTCTATTCAGATCATGGAAATCCAGCAAGTAATAGATCATCGGTATTGTGGCCGAGGCCTCCAGTGCAGGTGGGTAAGCCTCCCCATTCTACCCTGATTGTTTCTGGAACTTACTCAGGGCTCTGGGTTTCTGAGGCTGGAATGAAAGCTCAAACTACATGGTAAAAATCAATGTGTGCTTATGTTGCTCCTTAAGTGAAAACACATTTGTTACATGGTAGACGAGGGCATCATAAAATGGTTGCTATTAGCAAATGTCAATAAACCACGGCTCCAATGATTCCACCCTCCCATGTTAATGGGTGAGTCCAAAGCAAAAAGCTTAGGGGGCAGCTCTGTGGCCCACTCTCTGAGGACACATACAGTAGGCTATACGGGGCTGCCAGTTAATTGTATCGACAGGAAAGACATTGTTACTCATGGCTCCAAGTAATGAATGAGCTGATGTTTATACATTTTAATAACAAGGAATATCATTATTTTAATTGCTAAATAATAAAGCTTATCTTGGCTTTTTCAGTTAGGAGTGAAAAAAAAAAAATCCAGATATTACAAAAGTTCTCATTGACCTCCGTGTCTATTGTGTGTGGTCAGGTAACGATGCATTTAGAGTCTAAGCACAGACCACAAGTAGCTTCAAGCTAGCCTGATAGGCAAGTTGAAGGCGTTAAGAATGGGGACTTATTTTTCTTTCTCTGATAAATTTTTACGGGGTGATTGCTAGGTGAAAGACAAGACCCTGTACTTTGAACTGGTGTCACAAATCCTTGGGATTCTCAGCCTGATTTCTTTTCAACCCGATGTAACTTAGACTTCAAGTTGATGACCCTGAGCTTTAAAAATAAACTGCATGGTGCTTTATGACTTGTTTATGGCTTTGACATTCATTATGATGTGGAATTCTTCCCCAAATCCCTCTGAGGTTGGTTTAGTTGATCCCATTCTGCCATTAAGGAACCTGAGCTTCAGTGAGCTTAAAGAAGTCAGAGACAGACATTAATTATTGTGCTAGGGTGACATAATGCAGAAGTGTGGGATGACTGGGTTTCAAATTCTAGAACTTCGACAAGGTGTTTATCCCCCCTGATTGTCCGTTTCTCCTCTGGGAGGTGAGGCTACTGAGTTGGGTGGCTGCGAAGTGGGCAGACGTCGGGGCCACATTGTAGGAAGTGAATTCCATTTATCTCTGCTTCTTCGCCATTGAACCAGGCTCTCCTGATCCCAATTCAGATCAATTCCTTTTATTTCTGCGTTCTCATTTTTAACAACTTACTTTAGGATTGATTAAAAAGAATCTAAAATGGTGAGCTCTTCTTCCAATGCATCTGGTTTTAAGTTGTCTTTCCATATAAGGTATGGCCTTGACGATTATAAGAATTTGTGTCGGATATGCTATGCTTTTCTGCTAGAGTTTTTATTATAGGAGGAATCCCAGGAAGCCCCCGTTTGCCCCAAGTAGCTCCCTTCCAGAGGCTGCAGGGCAGGAGTGTCTGTGGATGCCATAGTTTTCTCAGTCACAGAACTGCGATTAGGACTATTATAATGTTAGTTGATTCAGGTTCTGAAAGTGCGTGGTATTTCCTACTCATATTGCCTAAAAGGGAGTGATTTGGAGTAGGGAAGCTGGTATTCATTATTTTCAGTCCTCCTTTCCAGAGGGATGGTTGGTTTGAGGCCTTTGCCTCATTTGTCTCCTGAAATCTGTGTCTCCTTAACGGGGACCAGAGTCGTTTCCTGTGCACTCGATTATACATATTTAGCCTGGGATTTGGCTTTCCATCACTTTGTCTGTGTGCTCCAACAAACCATCAATCTTTGTGGTATGGTTTGTATATGAAGACCTGAAAGAGATCACTTTGAAATTTGGCAAGTACGTCTCTGAAAAACATAAAGCTCTACCATGCTAACTTTGATTTTTTGCGTCTGTTATAGACTATTTCACCACTTATGTAGTATATAATGAGTAACAAAAGCTTTTTGAAGACTTTCCTGTGTATTCTGATTTGTGGTTTTATTTTATTTTTTTTTCATAATTAGCACTGGAAATTACAATTACAATATTCCTGTTAATAAGCACACACCTACCAATGTCAAATTCTCTCTGGAAATCAAGTGAGTAACTGTAGAGAACAATTCTGCTTCTGTCACTATTTGAATAGCAAGTCTGAACTTCCTTCACAATTTGATCAGTAAGTTAGGGGTGGGACATTATCAGTCTGTGTCCACTGACGCTTGTTGAGTGGAGAGGTGGCCAGCTTGAGGGAGGAGTCTTCAAAATGAAGGTGAGGGGGATGCCTGGGTGGCTCAGTTGGTTAAGCTGCTGCCTTCAGCTCGGGTCATGATCCCAGTGTCCTGGGATCCAGTCCCACATTGGGCTCCTTGCTCGGCGGGGAGCCTGTTTCTCCCTCTGCCTCTGCCCTCCTCTCTGTCTGCCTGTGCTCGTGCTCTCTCTCTCTCTCTCTCTAACAAATAAGTAAATAAAATCTTAAAAAAAAAAAAAAATGAAGGTGGGGGTCTTCCAGCCTCCCTCAGTGGAATGGAAAGACTCTAGGCTTTACACTCACAACTGTAAAATGGGAGTGATCTTGGATTTGATGTTTACAAGCTGCAGACTACCCCTGTGCCCCTTTGAATTGGGGTGAGAGCAAGAGGAATAGCACACCGTCTGGGTGGGGAGCTCCTGGTAGCAACGCTAATGCAGACCCCACTCCCTCCCCAGAGGGGTTCAAGGAGTCAGAGTTTGGAGTTGGGCAGACCAGGGTTCAAATTTTGTCTCTGCCACTTACTAATTCTATAACCTTTTGGAGAAACCACTTATCCTCTCTGAGCTGTTTTTATCTATAAAATCAGTTTGAGATAATACCATAAGACATAGAGCTGTTTTGGGAATCACTGTTAATAATAGTGAAATTAGGGGCACCTGGGTGGCTCAGTCGGTTAAGCAGCCTTTGGCTCCGGTCATAATCCCTCTCCCTCTACCAGCCGCTCTGTCTACTTGTGCTCTCTATCTCTCTGTCAAATAAATTTTAAAAAATCTTTTTTTTTTAAAGATTTTATTTATTTATTTGACAGACAGAGATCACAAGTAGGCAGAGAGTCAGGCAGAGGGGGGGTGGGCAGGCTCCCTGCTGAGCAGAGAGCCTGATGTGGAGTTGATCCCAAGACCCTGAGATCATGACCTGAGCTGAAGGCAGAAGCTTTAATCCACTGAGCCACCCAGGTGCCCCTAAATAAATAAAATCTTTTAAAAAATAGTGAAATTAATAACTACCATTTGCTGAGCGCAGAGCATACGCCAGACGCTCTCCACTTTAATAGTGGGTCATATAATCCTCACAATAACCGTCCGAGTTGGGTTTTTCTTTTCTAGATTATATTTTTCAGATGGGAATGTTTAGGTCTGGAGAGGGTTGAACACACTTGTCCCGAAACTCACAGCTAGTAAGCCAGGGAGCTGGGTTTCAAACTCAGCCCATCCTTTAAATCATCACTTTCCTGATGAAATGAGAGATGTAAGAACATTGCTCCTTCCTGGCTTATAGTAGGTGCTTCATAAATGGTAGCTTTTATTATGACTACCTTTTCTTCAAAATCACAAAGCTCTAATTTAATCTACTCTCACCAAATATTTAAAATAATTGCAGTACTTTAAGACTTTGACCCACTTCACTCAAATTATGCAGTGAGCTCCTCACCGGGAAGATAGATGGTTTTTATCCTGTGTCTCTGACCGTAGTCTCTCCTTTTCTGGCCCCTCTACATTTTCTCTCTTCTTCCCTTTCATTTCTCCATCTCATTCCCTTTCCTCTGTCCTCTGCTCTCCCCTTCTGCTTCCCCAGCTCTCTCCTTCCTCCTCCATCCATTTCCCGCTGCTCTATCCCTTCCTCTGTTTCACGAAGGCTTCATACTCCTTCTCTCATCAACTTCACTTCTACAATGAGTTGATGACACTCGACCCAACTGCTTGCCTTAGAAAGGTTTGTTTCAAGCAGCAAGTATTTTGTGACTCAGAACTCATCACATTTCATGCAGAGCAAGAGCTAAATGTACTGTCTTCTAGCACTCCCTGAGTGGCCTGGAATAGCCTTTCCTCATTCATTCCTAGGGAAATAGAGGGAAATAAGCTGACATGGTGTATCCCCTGAAGTGGCAGAAGACCATCTTGAGACGCTAAATCAGGCTTTTTAGCTTAAGAGCCATTTTTCTAATATGGGTGATTTAAAAATAACACACAGACTCAACTGAGATTGTAGGTTGTCCTGCTTGTGCAAAAAGATCATTTCCAAAGACATACGGATCTCATCCTCTTGATGGTAATTAATGGGCTAACCTCCAGAGGAGAATCATTCTTTCTGGCAGGACTTCCACTCTGACAGCTATGACAGTGGGTAAATTCTAACGGGGCTCAGCCCCACATCCCTTCCTGTTTGTTTACCTTGCTGCTGCAAACAGTATGTACTCAGATCAGGGGTTTGTAGAATCTGAAATCCTGGAAACTTCAGGTAGATGCAAATTTAGCTGCCAGTGAAAAGAGAAGGGATAGCTCCAAAATGGATTTATTTATTTATTTATTTTTAAAGGTATTATTTATTTATTTAGAGAGAGCTCTAGCAGGGTGAGGGGCCGAGGGAGAGGGAGAATCTCAAGCAGTCTCCTTGCTGAGTGTGGAGCCCAATGAGGGGCTTGATCTCACCACCCGGAGACACGACCTGAGCCGAAACCAAGAGTTGGACACTTAACTGGCTGAACTACCCAGGTCCCCCCAAATGACTTTAAGATCTATGGTGATAAGAACTGCTGCTGCTGGAGTGATTTCAGCCAGGAGATTACATTTTAGAGCTGTCAGAGGCTACCTCAGGTGGTTTTGATTGGTTCAGACTGACGTAACAGATACACTATAGCCTGGGAGCCTTAACAAACATTTGCCTTCCACCGTTCTGGTGGAATGGTGGAGGTTGGGACATCCCATATGGAGGCACTGGCAGACTTGGTGTCTGGGGAGGGTTCACAGAAGGCCATCTTCTCACTGTGTCTACCTGGCAAAGGAACAAGAGAGCCCTCTGAGGACCTTTTAGAAGACCAGTAATCCCACTCATGAGGCCCCACACTCGAGACCTGATCACTTCCCATAGGCTCTGCCTCCTAACATATCACAGTGGAGACTGGGATTTAGGCCTATGAATTTGGGGGAGGGGAACATGAATGTTAAGTCTATCACAGTAATCATGTGGGACTGAGTTTCTTTCTGTAATAAGGAGTTGTGAACGGGCATATGGGCATTGACAAGCTTAGTGTACTAAAATGCCTACCTGAAACTGAGTGGGTGTCCAAGTTATGTTCCCATTCATACCTCTTTTTACCAAGGTGTAGTCCAGTGGAGCTGGTAACTGCTTTCCCTTTGCCCTTTTTCTCTTTTGTCTCTCGAAGCACAACAGAGCCATTGATAGTCTTCCAGTGCAAGTTCACCCTTGGAAATATATGTTTCCATGGTACAAGGGGAGCCAAGAGGACACAAAGCCGCCAAGAAGTCTCCCAAGAGATGACACAGGTAATGCTTTCCAGCCCCTGGGCCTTCTATCCCTGTTCCCGAAGAAGTGTGTCTAGAATTGTGGTAGAGCCTCTGCTCCCGACGAAGAGTGGGATGCCATGGGCCACCCGCCAGGGTTTCTCCTTGCTGGCTGACCCCCATCACCAGGTTCGGCTGTGTCTTCCTGTGTCCTTCAGAGCCTGCCGAGTGTTTCAGTGACTCCTCTCAAAAGCTGTTGCCACAGATAACTTTCCTAGAGGAGTCAAAGAAATGCTTTCTCAGACGATAGTCTTTCCAGTGGTAAATGTGGTTATGAAATGGATCTCTTTCATGCATTATTTAGGGCTATCAGCATATTTGGACACTCCCTGTAGCCCCGTTCTTTGACAGCACGTACCATTTCCGTGTAGCTGCGCCGGTAAGCTTGCTTACTTTTCTTTTTCTTTCCTTTTCTTCTCTCTTTCTCTCTCTCTCTTTTTTTTTTTTTTTTTTTTTTGCCTTTTTCTTTCCAGGGAGGGAGGAAGAAACAGACCATTAAATCAATCAATCAATCGTTCAATTACTTTAACTAATGCTTACATTAATCATTCCTTTTTTCTTCTGTTCTGACAGGATTTAGCGGACTGTTCAACGGATCCTTATTTTGCTGGGATATTCTTCACAGATTACTTCTTTTACTTCTATCGGCACTGTGTCTAATTTATTCGAGTTTGGTTGAGGACTTTGCCAAAGAAAAGTGCTCAGAAGTTCGGTCAACGGAAATATAGCCTCTGCAATTTCTTTCTTCTCTTTGTAAAACATTCACATTTATTGCCACAGGACTTGTTCAGGCTTTGGCTTGAACAGTTTTGAGCCATTAATGAGGAGAATAAAGGGTTTGCTGCAACTTGAGATAATGTGGTCTTTGATTTTACTATGAAGACAACATTTCTTGAAGGAAACAGCGTGGTTGGGCTTGAAAATACTGCTTCTGGCATTAAGGAATATATGAGGTCAAAGAGGCAGGTCTAACTTCAGTTTGTCTGATGTGTTTCTTACTGTAGCTTTGGAGAAAAATAAAAAGGCCCATTTCATCCATGTCAGCTTGGACCCACTACATTGAGAGTGTATGGTACGGTGTGTATTAGGGGGACAGATGGGTGGTGTCTGATAGCGGAGCTCACATTTATGCAGACTATTGCCATGAGTTTGTGGGAGAGAAGGAGTAGGAAGGAGCGACAGTGGGAGAGAGTGAAAGAGAACTACATACACTAGACTACAGAACAGAGCTGGCTAATGAATTGGATTTAGGAGAAATTGTTGCTATTATACCCTATAATGCTTGATGGACATTGAGTTTTCTGTGCTCTCTTGTGAAGCACTAACTTGTGACAAGTTTTTAAGATAACCCAGATAATCGAGACCCAGACAGTTGCATTTAATCTCCCGGTTGTCAATGGTTTTCGGATTTTGTTTTGTTTTCCCTCCACATATGAGGGCAACTCTTACAGGGCCATAGTGCCCCTCTCCATTGTTTACATCTAAATTAGCTTTTGGATGCTTCTCACTGGCTTATGGGTACATTTGTATGCCTTCCCCAACTTAGAATGGCCAGAAATCCTCTAGCTGGAGACTATCAACCGTGTCTTTTATTTTCTGTATTCTGATGTTTTGACCTTTGAGGATCTGGCTGACCTTAGTGGGACTCTACCTCCTAGGGTTAGTCAATTCCTCGAGAGAGTAAACCACCAGCCCATGAGTGCTTTTCAAATACAAACCAACCAATCCTGAGTCCACACTGCAACCCACCTCCTGCATCAGCTCTCATACTCCACCTGCCCTAACCACATCAGGTCCCAGTACCAGCCAGCTGGGCACAGACCCTGTATCCCAGAGCCTGTTCACCCTGCCTCACCTGTTCCTGCCCATGGAAACCACAATAAAGGCCCTTGCCCATAGCTCTTCCCCCTTCCTCTGCCTCCTGACTGACGCTGGTGCTTCCTAGTGTGTGCCCCCACCCCGCCCCCGAATGTGGCTTATGCCCTTCTCTTGGGAACTGAAACAAATTATCTTTTCAGTGGCAATCACTGGCCATCTCATACCTCAAATTCTCTATTAATACACTATATCTTATGTCATGGAAGTTCAAGCCCCTCTAGCTCTAGTCCCAGGTGACAAGGCTGCTGAGTGGCTGGCCTTCTCTTATCTTACTGTTGGCCTTTGGGAGTCAATTAGGAAATGAGAGTATTTGATTTTTTTTTTTTTTTACTTTGACAGTGATGACCAGTAGTAATAATATATCCTCCTCTTCCTTATTTTCAAATATTACTAAACCTGTGCCACATGAATGGAAATTAATTGGGAGACCCCATCTATTAAGAAAAGAAGAGATGGGGTCCTTGCTCTCCCAGAAGGCATTTTGAAATGAACTCAATGATACAGAGGTAGTTCAACCCCGTAGGACCCGAGACTTTGGATCCAAACAACCCAGGCTTTGAGTTCATCTGTGAATTTGGACTTTATCTGTGTACCCTTGGGCTACTTAACTTCTAAAGCCTCAAGTTCCTCTTAAGGAAAAGGAGAGTGAGTAGACACGGTTAAATGAGATAAAATAATGTCAAGCACAGATAGGCTGTAAATAAATCTAAACTATTGTTATCACTGCCTGTAACAGAATCATTACAAAGATTACAATGGAATTATAAAGGGACTGAGTCACTGAACACTCACAGCACATCAAGGCATGTTTGTCATCTGTCAAAACCAAACAGCAGATAGAGCACACACATGTGTTACATAATGTTTCTATTTTTTTCTATATTTGGAAAATTGTTCTCCCTTTCACTAACAGCATAGGCTTTGTGGGAAATTAAATAAGGTAGTTAATTCTTGGGAGGAGGATTTTAGGATTTCTGTGATTGCCTGGATTCACATTCAGACTTGCTTGTCCTCAGTTGTCATATCAGTCTGTCCCAGCATGACCTGTGTCTAGAGACTTCATTTTTCCATTTCATTTTTTAATAGCATCCCAGGTGCTTGGTGTGGGAGGGACTCCATTAATCTGACTCTTCCTCTAGGAAAGAAAGCTGGTCAGCTGCGGGATTACAGAGTTCTTTCCAGCCCGCAGATCCCATGCTGTCCTTCACGTGCTTATGTTCCAAAAAGCATGGGGGTTTCAGACACCTCATGTAGGCTCAGTAACATTGCCAAAAGAGAGGATTTCTTTCAAACAAACCCTGTTTTCAAATTAAATTCTATTACAAAACTGGAAGTCTTTTTCCCACCACAACAAAACAAACAAAACAAAACAAAAGGGTGTGCCACAGGAGATTGTGTTGAAAGTCTTCAGAAAGGAAGGATTTAACACAGTAAACAGACCTGTGGCAATCTGTGGCATCCTGGGATTAGTTAAACCTACTAGGAGAATAAACTTGCTGGAAGATTCTCCTATTTGAAGGACTCCTCTAGTCGTGAGATGTCCGCTGTGGACCATGCTGCTTCAGGTCAAAAGATTTTTTTCCTTTTGCCAGAGAATTCTTTCTACAGAAATATTCCCAAATTTAAGTAATGTCTATAAATCTTTCTCCCCAAAGCTCATACTCTCAGTCTAATCATGGGCAACATATCAGACAAATCCAGAGTGACCATCTACAAAATGCCTGACCAATACTCCTTAAAATCCTCAAGGTTATCAAAAACAAGGAAAGTCTGGAAATTGTCAAAGCCATGAGGAGCTTAAAGAGATATGGCAACCGAAGGCACCATGGTAGCCTGAATGGGAGCCTGTCACCAGAAAGAGGCAGCAGATAAAAACCAAGGACATTTCAATAAAGTATGGAGGGTCATTAATAAAAATGTATCAGTGTTGGCTCATTTATTGTGACAGGTGTTAATGATTGGGGAACGAGGTGTGGAGTTTATGGGAACTCTTGCACGAGCTTCACAATTTTTCTATAAGTCAAAATCCGCTCTAAAATTTAAAAAACATATATTTTTTAAAAGTCAGAAGAGAAGTCCCTAGGAGCCGGGCTGAATATCACATGGTGCCACCAGCTGCCATTTGCAATAAAATATTATAGGATAAGTACAGTCCTGAAAAACAGGTACAGTTTAACCTCAGGGCATTTATATCTTAGTTACAGTATCTGAAATACAGTAACTACTCTGCCAAGTATTTGTCAGATTCTGCATATCAATTTAGTTAGCTGCCTCCTAACATCATAGAAAATGCTATATAAAATATAAACACTAGAAAATATAAAGGAATCACATAATCTAAACAAGCAGAATTATGATAATTTTATGAGTTCTAATAAGGAAACTCAACAAGATTTTGAAAGTTTTACCAGATTTTTAGAGAACCGAATCATAAAAATTCACTTAAAAAATTGCATGCATGAGTTCAACCCTGCAGCATTTGAAAGAAAAAAAAAAGTAGAGCTCTTAACCTATCTCTTTTCCCATTTTTATTTTCACTTCTTTTGCCTAAACAGTTTTGGGATTTCAAGTGTAGTGGCAGATTCCCAGCAACACATTATTAAAGATCTCAACAGAAGAGCAGAAAAGCCATTCTGTTGGCAATTTAAAAGCCCTTCCCAAACTTCCTTTGGCTGGATTCTCACAATGATCTAGCGATGCTGGCAATGAGGAGACTTCTATTCCCTCATTCTGCAGATTAGGAAACTGAGGCACAAAGAAGTTAAGGAAGGACAAGAGATGAGCCAGGTTATCTGGTGCTACAGTTCACCCCTCTCCCCTATATGACCCATCTTCTTCAGTGCGGACACCACACAAGACTGAAGCCTGGGTGGCCCCTACACTGGGGATATATTTCTCACAGAGCTGGAGACTGGACATCCAGCAGGCTCAGGGGCTGGAGAGGGCGCCATCTTTGTGTTGTATACAGTTGCCTTCTTGCTGTGTCTCTGTGCAGGCAGGTGGTGAGAGAGAGGGTGGGGATGAGAGAGAGGAATCAAGCTCTTCCGTGTTTCTTTTTTGAAGGGCACTAATCCCACCATGAGGGTTCTCTCCTCGTGACCTCATCTAAACCTAATTACCTCCCAAAGTCCCCATCTCCACAGACCTGGAGACTAGGGCTTCCACATAGGAATTTCAAAGGGAGAGGACCCAGTCGGTAGTGTTACATCACTCACCCTCATGAAATGTTTTCCTTTCTCTACAACTCGTTGGAGTTTGCAAGAGATCACCAACTCCCGTATGGACCCACCCAATTGGCATTAATAGGACAATGGCTCTGGTAAGTGATGTTTACACTCACCAGGTCTGCAAACTGAGAGGATTTATTGGAGGCCACTGATTTCCGACCCCAGAATCAAGAGAGGGCAGAGGGACAGAGAGGAGGGGAGTCTCTGGTGGCCGCTCAGGTCCATCCATTGGTATTGCGCTGGGGCTGAGGGGCTCACTTGGGAAGGCTAAATACAGGCCGAAGAACACTTCAGAAAACCCTTCACTCCGCAAAGCTAAACGCGTTTTGGCTTTCATTTCTTCAAGGACGTGTGTCATTGATTTTTGTCTGATTCTGAAGAGCCGGATAAGCTCTTAAGCAGCGTCCAGGGATTCAGAATCTAGTGCGTTTTTCATGGTGGTTGCCGGAAGCTTGCAGCTTTGGGGACCCCTGATTTACCCGCAGTGCTCTCATCCAACCCTATCTTTCCTTGGCTGGGTTCCGTGAAGGGGGAAAGTCTTAACCGGAGGAAAGGGCAGGTGCCAGAGATCACGGGCTCAATCCTTCAGTGTCCCTATGGCCCCGCCCGAACATAAATAAATGAGATCACATTTGAGAAAGACTCCCCAGAACACGATAACACGTCTTTGCCAGAGCGGAGTTCTCAATCCCTGTTTAGCTGTACCAGTCTGACCTCCTGTTTAACTGTGGAGGAACTGGAAAAAGA